TATTCACCTGAAAGAAATTTGGTAACACATTTCTTCATACTTAACAGCCATTTATAAAGGACACAGATCCTAATAATGTCACAGTGAAAAKTATTGCAGGGAACAATGCATTGTATCTAATCATGATACAATCAAGATAGCAAATCCTCAGCCCACACCATACTCAGCTGTGCTCCTGCCTCTGCAAGCAAGCAGTTCCAAGACAATGTGAACTGATGATGTGSTGCTGCTTCTTTCCCGGCCTTCAGCCATGATTCCCAAATTCTCTTCCTTCCAGTGGGGTTGCTGTGGCTACCCAGATTCCTGGTAAGCAAAGTGAAACTAGCTGAAAACKAACCTTGACAAAGTCACTTTTTCCCAGTTCAGTTCCCTGAATCGTCATTGCAGAGATAGAACAGAACTGTGATAGCAAACGACAGAGGGGAAGAYATATGACTACTCTAGCCCCAGCTAACTTGGATCAGCTGAACCTACTGCCAAATTACATCTCTAACATGAACTTACACAAATCAATCAGTAACACCAAAGATCTTTCTTTCCCTCCCTTCCTTTGCTGTGTTGCCATCTTGAACTCTCTGGCCCTGTTGCTGAGCTGATCCAACTCCCTAATGCAGCTGGGGTTCTGCTCTGCAAGCAGTGAGCAGAAGTAGCACATGGAGGGGTTTGCTGAGTGCCAGAGAAAAAAGGAAGAAGGGGATGTTCAGGGATGGGAGATGTGGGAAAGGGACTGCAGAAGAAACAGAACATCTTCCCTCTGGCAACACAGTGCTAGTAAGTTAGCTCACCACATTTAACTGTGCTTCATCCTCAGTAGAGAGGTGAACAAGCACTTAAATTAAAAGAAGCTGTAACTGCAAGGCAAGAGCCAGAACAGAGAGAAGGCATTTGATTCAAAACCAAGCCAAGAGTTTTGTTTACAAAATACTGTAAAGAAAAGTAGAACTAGGAAACAAAAGAAATGGAAGGAGCACAAACCAGGATAACAAGTTAAACTGGGAAAAGGAAAAGAAAATTAAAGGGAGAAAAATCCCAAAACTAGGATTTCAGACAAAGGAAGCTAAAACATGATTTAGAAACCCTTAYAAGCCCAAAACCTCACAAGCCCCACACACAGAGAGGGAGATCTTTCCCTAATGAAAGMATAGTTTTAAATGCATCTGTGAAAACAAATTATCATTAAGAAATGCTGAAGAGATTTCACTGAAAGTGTAAACAGCTGCACTTCACACAAGAGTTAAATAAGCAGGACAAATGAAAAGATTGGAAGCACAGTCAGATACACCCATACATATAAGTACAGGAAAAATACACCCGGATTGGTAGGCTGGGTAGACACAGTGTGCAACAGTGGCTGACAATGGCCATGTTGCTATAGGTGAAGTAGAACACATTTAACAATAAATTTCACACACTGCTTAAAGAAATGTCTCAGTATCTTAGAAAGCAGTGCGAAGTACCTTCCTGCAGGTGTTTGATGCACATTCTCATGCTGAAAAAAAAATGTGTAGTATATAGTTTCAAATCTGCTACCTCAAAGATGATAAAATCAATGAAGCACTATAAAGAATCACAAAAGAAACACCAGCCACGTTTAACAGGCTTTCTGTGATCCTCTGAGCATCACTACCTTCGACTCCTGAAAGCATGCACAACAGTAGTGAGTAATCCAGGATCCCTGGGTCCTGAAGCAAAGCTGGCAGCAGCCAGTACACTCACTTCAAGGGSAAGCCAACACTCAAGTTTGCAGCTGTTTCTACATTTTACATTAAACCACCACTGCCTAAAATATGTTAAGATCCATTTGTGGTTCTGGAGTAGCCAAACTGTACATTGAAGGTCATGTACTTTCAGCATTGTACATTCAGCACTGGCTGCAGGCTGCTCCTCCCYTGAAGTCCTGCTTGTCTCTGTCAAGTTCACATACAGCCCACATGCCCAACACACAGTTCTGAATTTCAGTCAGGGCAAGGACTGSAAGTTCACTGCTGCAAAGACAACTCCTTTTTTGGATTTGCTCTCAGTTGAGGACAAAAAGGGTACAGAAGAAGGGCCTCTACAGGGCAGAATGCTATGTRTTTTACCACCACAAGTTTTTACTTATTTTTAGAAGTAGCTTTAAGTTCACCTGTGATACTTTTGCCTTCCAGCTATCAGAGTCAGTAATTCTGTAAACTCTGTACACTGACCACAGAAAATTAAAATTAACTGAAAAAGACCAGTTCATCAACACTTCATAGCGCCTAATCCAAATATCTCCCAAAGGCTTCAGCAACAATCTAATCTACAAGCTCTGTGTGAACTTTTATGACATTGTAAAGTAATTCATCTGGTCCWACATAAATACAGCTATTACATAAGACAGCAATAACTTTGTCATAAATCATTCCAAGCAGTTTGAAGAGGCTTGAATGCAGACTCCCAAAAGCCACATGATGCTGTCTATTTACTTTATCACCTATAATCCAAAATAAAASTCACCAACATCACAGGATTAACTAYGTGCAATCAGGTTTTAATGTGACTGTTCACAGAATTTTCTTACAAATTCCTCTTTTTAATGTGTKGTTTAAAATCTTATAACTAATTCCCTTGCATAAATATGCRCTCTGTATGCCCAACGGGATATAGAGACTTGAAATACTGTGCATTTTCTAGCTACAAAAACCATGACTGAACCACAGTTATGTTTCACATGCCAGAGACAAATGCACAGGAGTCTCTTCACTGCAGAAGCAACAGCATTGCTTCTCTGCAGCTTTTTAAACTAACCTGACAGGAAGAATCACTTTAATACTTACTAAGGAAACACAAAGTGAGGTACTTCAGTCTACTGCTCAATTCCTTCCCATGTGRCCGGGGAAGTCCAATGGTGATAAATACAGCAAATCAGTGTCCCAAACGCTGACCTTATCACCACTTTGGTATTTTGGTCAGTTATTTTCATCTCTGTTGCAAAGCACATGGAAGGCAGATAAACTGAGCAAATTCTCTGGAAATTAGTCAGTAAACTCCTATGACTATCCATAGAATTAACCTTCATATGATTATCTCCATCCCCTCCAAACTCCCTGGGAATCAGGAAGGATTTTTAGACAAACACCAAATAATCAAAAAATTAGTCTGGAGATAAAGAAGAAGTTACTGCACTTTGACTTTTCCTAGGGGACTTTCCAAGGTAACATGAACTCAACCAACCATCCAGCACAGATGTGTGGAACAACATCAAACTTCAGAAGGCAGCGAGGCACTGATGGCAATAAACTGAATTTAGCTTCGGTATAAATGCAGAGAGTACTGCATTAAGTTTAGTAAACATGAGGTGGGGGGGTTGCATTTATGAACCAACTGCCTCACCAAATTGTCTCTGGGCACAAATATACCGGACTGGCTATGTTTTGTGCGACTGAGCTCAACTCTTCCACAAAAGAAGAAAGGCACAGATGGGCTTATACAGTTCTATCTTACAATTCAGAAGACACCACATGTCACAGTAAAATGAGCAACTGACTTCCTGCACACTATTTTTCATTTAAGTTTCTTGTTTGCTCACAGGCCTTCAGATAGAACTCAAAATGTTAGACTTTTTTCTTCTTTTGAAACAAGCTTCCACAGTGAGGATCTTATCTAATTCGTGTAGACTCTCAAAGACGCTGCAATAAGTCCCTCAAAAAAAAGATTTTTAGCTGAAAAATATCTCACTGTGCTTTGACAAGCCATCTCCCAAACCTCAGGTATTTCTAAATATAGTATCTTCATGTTTTGAAATTAAAGAACAAATACTCTTAACATTATTCTTTCTTCCAGTATCAAAGAAACTAAAAAATAACAAACAGTACTTCAAGTTCTTACTTTGAAGCTGATGGATGTTGCTTGTAAGTTTCCCTCTTTCCACAACACAACCGYTTTCCTTCCTCAGCCTAAGTTTTCCACAGGCTAAGGACTGTTTTCCACTGCATTTTATCTCTCTCAGGACAGTGGAAGCCTGAAGTTTTAAACACAGACCTTTCTACAGCACTGCAACACCTCAGTTGTCTCCTAAACAGTCTGGAAAAAAAAGAAAAAAAAAAAAAAAAAAAAAAAAAAAAAAAAAAAACCTTCTAAATTTCCTTCTTCCTGATTTGGCCAATCTGCAAATCTAATCACCCAAAGCGTCTTTCTTATGGATTAATATATTGCATTTTCTGCATCTCATGCTTGTAATACAACTTTACATAGGAAATATATCCAGTATATTTCATTAGATTAGTGTGCACACATGACCTTTCCTGAGAAGYGATGCCACTATTACAATCTGATAAAAGACTGCTATCACTTCAAAAGGCGAAAAAAGTTACAATTCAGTTGGCACAAGAAAGTTTTTTCTATTCAGAAAAGTTCTTTCTATTCAGAAAGTTTTTTCAATAACAAGAATTAAATATTTTTGTGATTAAAGAATACACACCCCCCATCACTTTTTATCAGAAGTAGGGTGATTTTCCTAAGTAGTTTTACCATTCAAGTAGTGATGTTCCTCACAAAATGCAKAACAAATCAAAGCACATTCCGCTCAAAGAACAGCGTTCTGAACCCTAAAGCCAGGCAGGTCCAGTTCGCACGGACACTGAAGGAACTCAGGGCCAGTACCGGGAAAACTGAGCCTGGGTGCTCGGTAAGGTGAAGCAGGGGACACTCACTCCCCAGACGAGGATGCCTCACTGGCAGCTTTCCCACCAGGCCTCAGTTTCTCCCGGCCCCGCACAGCTCCGGGAGCCGGCCGGGCAAACCCCGCAGCCCGTGAGGCCCGGGAGCGGCAGGGAGGACACGCTGAGGCCCGGGAGGGGCCCCGGCCGGACACCCCCGGTGCCCTCACGGGGAGGCGCGGGGCAGAGGCGGCCGGACCCGCCGGGACGGGGCTGCCAGCGCTCGCAGCCGCAGGGCCGCTGCTCCCGGTGACGGCGCTGTTTTCACCCGGTGCTGGACTGTCTCTCGGCTGCCCCGGGGAGCATCCGCCCGACACCCACCCGCAAGCGASAAGAGGGCACGGGAGTCTGGAGGAACCCAGGGGAAAACGCCGAGGAACATTAGGGAAAGCAGCCCCGCTTGTGTCAGGCAGGCAGCAGTGGAGCCCAGCGCCGCAGAGGCACGGGGGGACGGCCGGGCCGCAGGCAGGCTGAGGCCGGAGGTGACGAGGCCGCCCGGCAGGGTCCCCGGCCGCCCGTTGCTCTCGGCGGAGACAGCGCGGCAGCCGCCACCGGGCCAAACGCTACCGCAGCGCTCAGGTCGACCCTGCCCTGCCCAGACACGGCGGCACGGCCCCCTCCGGACGCAGGACAGGTGCCGGTGCCCAGACGCGGCCATCCCGCCCCAGCGCCGCGCACAAACTTTCTGAGCCGGCCCCGCGCCGCTCCCTCCCCGTGCGGCGGGCGGAGCGGCAGCCGCCGCGGCCAATGGCGCCGTGCGCCCCAGTCCGGCGGCCAATGCAGGGCGGCGAGAGGCGGGACCGCCGGTGCCCCCGGGCGGGGGGAGCGCCCCGGCAGCGCAGCGCAGCGCCGGCTCGGCCGCCCGGACCCCCGGGACCCCCCCGGCCCCGCAGCCGCCCGCGGCCCCGACACCGCCCCGCTCACCGGGCAACCTGGGTCCTCCTGCTCCTGGCGGTGGCGAGCGGGACCGGCCGCCGCTCTGCCCGTATTTCCGGCGCCTCGGGCCCGGGGCCGCGCCGGAGCTGGCGGCGGGCGCCTAGCGGGGCTCCTGGCGGGCGGCGCGGGCACCGGCGGCAGCCCCGACCTGCTCTCCGCCCCCCGCCGCTCCTGCCAGGCCCGTAAACATCCCGGCATCCCCGAGGATGGGGCGGGGCGGCCGCCAGGCCCCGCCTCGCTCCACGCCCCCCGCCCGGCCGGAGGCGCGGGGTCCGCCGGGGCGGGCGCGGTGTGTCCCGGCGGGCCGGGTTCGGCTCTGTGTGGGGAACTCCCGGCGCTTTTGGAGGTGACCGGGGCTGTAAGTGCCGCGGGACAGTGCCCGCCGTGGAGAGCAGCGGGCCCGGGCACTGCGGCAGCGCAGCGGGCACGGGAAGCGYCGCTCGCCCCGGGCCGAGGCAGGGCCGGCCGGGAGCGGGATCCAGATCCAGCCGCGGCCTCTGCTGCAGGGACGGGTCTCTCTGCCGTGCCCTGAACAGCGCTGCCCTGGGGATGGGCCCAGCCACATTGGAAACGCTGCGTGCCACATTTGCTCAGTTTGTGTATGAGTTGTGATACTCGGTCTGCAGGACAGTCGTACTTAGCACTTCAGCTGCAAGTGACACAAACTCGGTTGTGCTATACTGGTAGAAATAAAAGTGACAGGAACAAAAAAGCCCAGACTCTTGGTGAATCCAGTTCCACCAAGTTCTACTTTGCAAAAGGACTGGGGTTAAGTAGATAAATACTGAATTCCAGAATACTACTGTTTTGCAGGTTCTTGAAAGTTTATCCTGCTTCAGGGTGAGAAAAGGCAAGTAACTACACATGAGAGGCCTTAAGAACCAGTGATAAGGAAAGAGTATGAAAGCTGACACAGTTTCCCCAGTAAGGTTATGGATTATTGTGCTCAAATAACTTCTTCCTCAGGTGTGGAAACCCCCTGTAAAAGGCGCTCCAGTAATTTTTCAAAAAAAAAAAATAAAAGTTATTCAAAAGAGCTATAATCAGCAATTCCACTGGATGTTTTCCATCTCCAAAATTCTCTTTAGCCTCAACCAGAAATTGGGTTGTGTGAGGTAGTCACCTATTTGCAAAACCTCTGATGGGAAAAGGAGAGATTGATTTTTGTTGTGTAGCTGACCATAAAACATTGCATCTTATTAGGTCTCATTTTTTTCACAGGTAAAGGCAATTAGTACTATAATACCCAGCTATTGCTATTTTCTGGACTTCTCTCTTTAGTCACCTGAATCCAATGGTTACTTTGGTCTGACATTACCARTTGGTGAAGCATCTTCCTGTATTCCAACTTTATCTTTCTTAGAAGATGGTTGTTTCCATTTTATTCTTGGTGCTTGAGATTTGGAGAACATAAAAATTAAGAGTCTGCTTTAGTTAATTAGTTCATTATCACAATCAGGCAAAAAGGCTTTCATATAAATGTAACTACACTGCCCCCATTAATTTTAAATTTGCAAAGTGACACATCTTCCACATACCACAGAAGGTTCTCTTCAGACCTGTGTTGTACAAATGTTTATTTATAGAAGGATGATTTCTTTGCTTTTCAGTGCACATTTATAGATGAATAAATTTGTCTAATATTCCCTGTAATGGAGACTTTATATCAAACAGAATCAGAAAGGCAGAAGAGGCTCCARAAGATCCAGTAGCCTTAGGGATTGTTAAGGAGCAGGCTTATCTCTGGCAAATGCTTCTCCCAGAGGCCAGAGGGGACACTGCCTAACCAGCTAGCAAAGGATTCGAGAAAATGGACAAAGACATGCTGGATTTAGGGATCTGTGAGGGACAACATGGCTTGTTCCCTAAGTCTTACCAACTTCTGAAGGTGTTACCAGCAAATGCTTTATACCTGGAATTAAACAGGCCGGAGACAAAAGGAACAAGGACCTCACTATTTGTCAGTGGATGTTGCMCTGCATTAGCCATGCTATTATTAATGTTGACATATTAATATTGATATAAGAAAGCTGMACCAGTCTTCTTCTCATCATTGACATCTGTGAATATAAAGAACCTAAAAATATAGCCAGGGTTCAAGGATATATAAAATACCAAATGACGATTAAGGGTATTATAATCCAATGTGACACTTGGATTGTGTCTGAAAACAGTGTCCATTGTCAGGACTAAGCTACCAGACTCGAAAGCACCTAGAGAGTGTTAGGTAACAACATGCAAGTCAACCAGGAATTCTAACATTTAKCCAAACTCCCCCGATGATTCATAACTTGCTTCCACTATTGTCCAGGTCTCTGTGCAGCTGGAGASTCTTGAGATGTTCATTAGCAGAATAAACTGAAGATTCAGGAAAAATATAGATTTGAAAACTTTAAAACTTTCAGGCAGAAGAGCTCACTAGGACAGTGGAGGATGGGAATAGATGTCTTCGAGGTCACAGAGATAGGAGCGTAACGTAACAGCTCACTGGTTAACAATTCTTCAGGTTCTTCAAATCAATAAACTACAGGAAATTAATCAAAAGGAGCAACTGCTCTGCTCTGAGTCCTTGAAGCCTGAAAAGTCTCCCTCTCTCCTGGTTCTTTGTTACTAACAGTAAAAAGGCTAGGATAGCTGCCTGTGACASGGATGGGGAAATGAGAAAAGCTGTGAAGGCAGGATTAAAGAGAGATCCATTATATTTGCATTGGATAAATATTATGATAGGGCTTTATGCAGAATTTAAGCTTTTAGACAACATAAATCRTTAAATGGAGCAATCCAGCAGAGCTTGCAGAACTCCTGATTTGTATCAAGCAGGGRCACCAGACCTTCCTCAGAATTTCTGTATCAAAGAACTGTTTCAGAATTTTGATCATAATATATTCAAATTCAAAAACTCATAGAAGTGAAAAGACTAAATAAACTTGCCACAGCAACAGTGAATGTTGAAAACAGGACTGCATAAAACCAAGGAAGTTTGTTAAAAGTAAATTRGGAGGAAATTACCTGTATTAGATTTTTCTGAGTAAGTATCTATCATTTGTCAAAGCCRGTTAGAGGATCTCCAAAAGACTAGCAGAGCTCTATGTGAGAATAAAGGATATTAGAAAGGAACTCCTAAAAAAATTKTATTCAGATGAGAAAAACAGAAAATAGCAAAACCTCTGGCAGGCTAAATGTAGAACWGTAAAAGGCAGACCAAAAGCCTTTGAAGGAAAATTTTAGTAATGGTATAAAACTTTATTGTAAAACCTCTTCCAAACACATCAAAAGCACGAAGCCTGCAGGACAGAAAAACTGTTTTCTTACGTGGATGAGAGTTTCCTACAGGGAACCCCTTTATACCACAGAAACYTGTGGSAGTTTTTGGAAAGGTATGTGGAAACAGAGCTTGGATGGTAGSAGATTMYCCTATKTCAATAAAACTTCTTGACAAATCTTCATTAAAATTGCTTGAAGAAATTAAGCTGCATTGCAATAGAAAGGATCAGTAGTGAGCCATACTGAGTACTGTGTAATACATAGTCACAGCTAAATACAGTTCTTTATTTCAAAATTTTTCTTTGCTCTAGCACACTGCTATTTCRATGTATTATCATAATGCACATATTACTGTTTAACTGAAGGAAGAAAATGTAGAAAATGTCTGTATATTTCCTGTAGTGATCACAGTTATCCTAACCTAGCTTCCTGGTAATAARGAAAACTACATTTTGGTGCAGGTTAGTTGATCACAGGCAGATTCCAGTCTTGGACAGGCTGTTCTGTGCATCCAGAGTCCCCTCCACTGCAGCCAAATGAGCAGGCTTCAAGTTTTTATATCTCAGTCCATCCTCATCTTCGCTCAGCATGTCCTGGCATTCCCCATGTTCCTTCAGGGCAGCACTACACACCCTSTGTTTAGCAATGTCAGTAACAGACTGAAAGCAAGTTCAAATGTCATTTAGGGCTGGTTCCACCGTTCACACATTCATATGCCTTACCTCAGTTTTAAGTAATGGTCCTTCATGCATGAGGTTCTTTCACACAAGAACTGAAACATATTCATATAAAATAAACTCTTACAGAAGTGGGTAGGACTTTCAGTTTCCAAAWAACTTCTGTTTGTCCAAGGTGTAGTGTTTACGATATGACACAGGATTAGAAGCTGCCTTCAAGTCTATAAACATGTACTTGCCAATAAAACCTGTAAACTGCATATCTGGTGTCACTGAAGTTCAGACTCTTACTGAGTGTAAGTTGGTGTAGCTGCTCTGACTTCAGTGGAGTCATACTGATTTACACAGCCAAGGACCTGGGCCTTAGCTGTTGGATCTGAGGATTTTAACAGAAAAAAAAAATTAAATAATTGCTCAATTTCATCCTTTCCTTCAGTAAGTTATAGCTGAAGGAAAAGTGATGTGTTGGAGATATTATTTCTAAAATACTAGAAAATAAAAATGCAGTATTACGAATGAAAATTCACAGCTGTTATTACTTTTTAAGCCAAATAAATATCCATGTTTGTGGATCCATGTGCAGAATCCCACTGATTTCAGTGGTACCTAGGAAATGGGGATGTGGTGTCTAAAAAAAAACCTTAGCCATAGCTTTAATTTTCCTCTCACACC